TTGTGGAGAAAATTTCTAAGAGTTTCACTACTTGGTCGGTACGAACACTATCTTTCGCAGGCAGGCTGCAGTTAATAGCCTCAGTTATTTCAGGAACTGTTAATTTTTGGGCATCTACGTTTTTGCTTCCAAAGGGATTCGACAGATTGAATCTCTCTGCTCAAGATTCCTGTGGTCAGGCACTATTGATATGTGCAACAAAGCTAAAGTTGCTTGGTCTACGGTTTGCTTACCTAAAGCGGAGGGAGGTTTGGGTTTGAGGCGTTGCATAGACTGGAACAGAGTCCTTAATTTGCGTCTCATTTGGCTGCTGTTTTCTTCGAGCGGCTCACTCTGGGTGGCTTGGCATAAGCATCATAACCATAACGACGTCTCTAATTTCTGGATGCAGAGTGAAAGCAACTCACAGTCTTGGACTTGGAGAAGTTTACTAAGGTTGCGTCCTCTAGCAGGAAAGTTTCTAAGGTGTACCCTGGGTAATGGTCAGAAAACAAGTTTTTGGGGTGACATTTGGACTCCCTTCGGTCCTCTTATTAACTATTTAGGGCAAGAGGGCCCAAGAAACTTACGGATTCCTCTAAATGAAAGTCTCTGAAGTATGCAATGGTTCCTCGTGGTCTTTAGCTGCTCCAAGATCAGAAAGGGCATTGGCGCTCCATATTTTTCTATCGACAATCGCTCTCCCTTTAGACCCACTTAAATGTGACTCTTACCACTGGTACGTTAAAGACCAGAATTGCCATGGTTTCTCCGCGGCTAAGACTTGGGAAATAGTAAGACCAAGAGAAGCTGAGAAGTCTTGGTCCGCCTCAGTGTGGTTCAAAGGAGCTACGCCTAGAAACGCCTTCACAATGTGGATAGCCACTCTTGATCGGCTGCCAGTTAGATCGAGATTGGTCGCCTGGGGTTTGCAGGTTTCGCCAGTGTGTGTTTTGTGTTCCTCCCAGCCCGAATCAAGAGATCACCTCATGTTGTCTTGCCACTTTAGCTCCACTATATGGCGAGAAGTCATGGCAAGGATAGACCCATCTCAGCCAGACTTCAGCTCTTGGACTGGCCTCCTCACGTGGACTTGTGGAAACAGCAACAACTCGCCATCAATGCTTCGCAAGTTAGTGACCCAAGCGGTGGTGAACGGTATTTGGAAGCAGAGAAATAATCTCTTACATAATTCTGTCTCGGTTACTCCTCTCTGTATTTTCAGAGACTTAGACAGGCACATCATCAACACGATCAATGCAAGAAGGAGTCGTCGTGATTTTGAGAATCTCATGAGCCATTGGCTCCGATAAGTTGTCATCAATTTCTGCTTTATGCTTCCTTGTTTTTTAATCTTTTTTGCCGAGGAACCATTTGTTTAGGTTTGCTCTTTGTAAATCAAACTATCTTCATTAATATGATATTTACAGTTTAGCAAAAAAAAAAAAAACAAAGTGTTGAGGGAAGTCGAAACCCAATCAATGCAAATATGCAATCAGAGGCCCAAAGTGTTTGTCACTTTATATTATGTACAAATAAACGACCGAACAAACGAATGCAAAAAATGTATTTCGAGATTTTAGTCCTTAGTTGTTACGCATTTGTACAAACGACACTTTTAAAGGAAACTAGGCTCTTTTAAACCCAACAGAAGATAGTACAAAGTTCCAAGGAACACTGGCGACAATCAATAACAAGGGGACGAGACAACAACATTGTTCTTCCTAATTAAAACTACAAGAAAGTAACCCCAACATCTCTCTAATCTAAAGAAGTTGATTCCACTCATTTCAAGTTCCCAAATTAGAACAGCCAAATGATAAAATCCATTACCAGATTTTATCGATTTCGGAAACAATCAGCCAAAGGCACAGAAGCAGATCCTCATAAGCCACATTGCAACAGTTATAATTTCGTTTTTTTTTATGCTCCTCCCTCTTCCTTGTCCTTGTCCTCCTTTTCTCTGTTCCATTGCTCAATCCTTGCCCTCCTCTCCTCACTTCCTTCTCTCCCACCACCAGGGCTCCCTTGCCTCCTCCTTGAACCGTCCCTCTCTGGCCTCTCAGACCTCTCACTGCTCCTTTTCCCACTTCCATGCCGGTAAAACTCACGATCTCTGTCCCGGTGACTGAATTCCCTGTGAGGAGGAGGATCACGCCTGTCATACTCTCTCTTGTGCCTTGGGCTAATACTCCTGCTCCTGCTCCTGCTCCTGCTTCCCCTGCGGTATGACCGCTTATACCTCCCAAAGAGTTTTCTCCTCATCTCCCTCGAAACAAGCTTCACGTGCATAAAATTACAGTAGCCGCCACGGTTACAGTTGTTTTCTTCATACTGCCGACACGTGGCTTCGCGGAAATCCGTCACGGGAGAGAAATCAGCGATGATGGGACGTCCCGAATAGAACCTACCTTGCAGAGCCTGCAAAGCGGCTGCAGCCTGGTCCTCTTCCTTAAACTGAACATAGACGTTGCCAATCATGTGGTCAGCGAGGTTGTCACAAATGTTGAGGCTCTCAATCTCGCCAAACTTGCCGAGCTCCTCAAAGAGATCCTCGAAGAAATCCTCGAAATGCTCCTGGATCTTGCGTGGGTCCAGCGGTTGGCCCTGAGCGTCGACTCCTGGGGTTATCATGTCAGGCCTTTGGTACATGTTGGAGAGGAGGAGTGTTGGGGAGATTGTGGGACGGTTGTGGAGACGAGAGCACCGGTCACCGTGACGGCAAGCGCCAATCTTAAAGTAGAATGGGCAATTCACTCTGTCCTTCTCAGTACCAAAGATTGAAGCCAAATGCTCCGCCATGGCAGAATTTCCACCCTGATTTACAAAGAGACAAAAAAATGTAATTTAACAAGAAAGCACGAGAAATAAAATAAACCCAAGGCTCCACGAATAATCAACTCATTCTATGGACATAGACTAGTATCAATACGAACTCGAGTAATCCTAAAGCCATAGATTTCTCTAATAAGCTATGTTCTGAAATTGAAGGTAAAAGAAGAGGTTAAGGAACTACTGCAGATCATTTGCGTAGAACATAGTCGGGTACTGGATTCAGGGGAAACAAGAAGCAAATAATCAGATACAAACCAACGAAATAGGCACAGCGAGGTGAAATCGACACTGACGCAAAGCAGCGCTCGAAAATAGAGCTGAGAACCACAGAGACAATGGTAGAGAGATCACCAAAGGGAAGAAAGAGAGAGAAGGCGTACAAACTGTTAGAGAGATGGAACAGTTTGAGAGATCTGTGAAAGAGTATCCGCCGGCGGTTGAAGGAATTGCCGACGAGGAGCTGCCGTCTGCGTCCGATTGATGATCTAGGGTTTGCTTTGTTCGCGAGTTGGGAGAGAGGAGAGAGAGAGGAGGGATCTCCTGATAATGATATGAGGATTACCGATTTATATTTAATTGAATAAAAAAGGTAAATAAAAAATGGAAACTTAACTAGAATCAGGTTGTGTACTTATGTCTACAATTCAGGGGAAACAATACAGTTTGGTTTACAAATAAGTTCATCGAACTTTCTTTTTGATATAATAAAATAATAAAATATCAAATATTGACATAACAAAGTTCAGAGAGATTAATTATCACTTGACATGATGATATGATATAGTATCAAATATTGATATGGCTCTTTCGTTAAAAAGATTGTCTCGGTCCCAAATTCTCACCATTCAAAATTTAATGCTTCTATCTCCAGAAATATAGCTTTGTGTGTGTTTAGACATAATCCTTGCTTATATTTCTTCCAAGTGTGAGTTATACTTTTGATTAGTGGATTAGATAACCTTGTAGGGGTCAGGAGATGATCATACATACAGCTAATAGCTCCTCATCAAACCAAACAAGTTAAAAAAACCAATTTGATAGAAAGACTCAACATAGATTCCAGATATACAAATGACATGAAGTCTGCTAGTATATATAATAATAAACTTGTATAACCAACAACTCTATACATAATCTCTCCTCTGTAACAGAACAAAGAAGAAGAATCACTCCGGTGACGATGGTCATACATGAGAGAGGCTTAAAACTTAGCCAAAAAAAGCACCTCAGTCGCATTACTATTATATAACCTTACACTAGTGCCTCTCTTTCCATGAGTCTCCTTCTTTTGTTTGCCGACAGAAACTCGAGAGATTACATACATGGTCATGCTGCTGAACAATGGGCTCACCAGATGCCAGGCTGTCTATAAGACTGCAGAGGATAGCTGTGAAACGGATAGCCTCTAGCCATATGGACCGGCTTCATCGCTGCAGGCATTGCCCAACCTAACTCTCTTCTTGGAAGCGGAGGCGGCGCCGGCATAGTCCTCCTTCTGTCTACTTCCATCAGTATGCACATCTCCTGGATCACCTCTGTCATTATTGACAAGAAACAGCTCGTCCTTTAATTCCAAACTCAATAGTTGCATACTGTAAGTAAGAGGCCAAAATGCCCTCTTGGATCCGATCTATCTTAACAACACCTATTCTCAGTGCCAATATTAGAGATACACTGCATTCCACTACTGGCAATAGTAATAGACAACTAAATAAAAAAAGTGTTTGAACGACAAACCTTTTAATAGCTTAGTTGTTACTCCAAATTCCAACCACCAATCTCTCCTGCTGCCTACTTTTGCGTTCTGAAACGTGGCAGCTAAGTGCACAGTGGCTGTTGCAATGACATGGGGTCTGTATTGCAAGCATAGTGTCGTCCGAAGCCTACAACGCAATGAATTACAAGATTATTCAAGCTCGTGTGTGGGGACAAAAGCGCGCAAAAAACTATTATTAACAAGGGTATTTACCAATCATGCACAAAGTTCCACGCAGCTGTCGCAAGGTCAGGCCAAGCGTTAAGCCTATTCAAAGCCACAGCAAGAGGTTTGTAAGGAAGTTCGATGTCTAGATGATGGAAAGCACTTGTGTCCAGCAAAAGCCTCTCCCCGGCCAAGATGAATTCTTTAAATTCATGGTAGTATTCCTACAGTAAATAGTGACGAGTACTATGTTAGCACAATGCACACAACATATTTAGCAATAGATAGGAAGGATATATAAATACTTACAGTTTGATGGATTCTCATTGAGGCAGCAGGATCCCACTCATAAATTATTTCATAAGACGCAACAACAACGCTGGACAGTTGACATGGCTCATCTTCAGCTTTGCAAGCGAGGAACAGACTGGATGTTGCTATTGTCTGCAAAATCACCAAAAGTGAGAATTATAATAATTAGAAGAGGTAATAGATTAGCAATGGATGAGCCATACTTATACAAAGCAGTCTTACCTGCCAATCATTTTTGGCATGAGACTGGCGCATGTAAAACCTGTGGCACATCATCATTGCGATTCCGATTGTAACCTGGGACCTGAAGCAATGAGATAGTCAGAAACCTTCAATAGCACCAAAAAACCATATCACCAAAATATTATAATAACTTGAGCAACTAAACGCCAGACAAAAGCTTTCACCGAAACCAGCATTGAAACTTTTTCTGACACGGTGTGATTAATGCAAAGGACAAATAAAAACACAAGTACCTATGATAGATGATTCAAAAATAGTAGGCCGGAGAGAGAGAGAGACGTGCACTTGCTCAGAAAACTAAGAACATCAGTTGGTAATGGGTAGGAACAGCTGAGGGTTTTGATAACCCAGCAGAGAATTACAAATATCAGAAGATCATATGTATAAACAGCTCCCCAAGCAAATTCACGACAGATGCAAGCCTCCTATCCCATTGCCGATGAGAAGTGAGCCAATATGTATATATGATGCATTGCATGGACACCAATTTTTTTACTATAATTACATAATTCTCCATTCATGAGATAACTATGTAGACAAAACTATAGTTCGAGAACCTCCAGACCACCTCCCACAGTGGCCCCTAGGACAAAATTCAACAGTTAGGCTATCCATTGTCACCCTCTTTAACTAAAAATGTAGCAAGAAGTATCATATATCAGAAAGACAAGAAAAAGAGAGTATATTCAACGAAGCCTAACAAGCAGAGAACGAACACTAGTTGCCAAAAACATTACTCAAAGACCAAAGAATACTATTGTGAGCTTACACATGAAGCTTCATCCCAAGTCTTTGAAGGAAAGTGCAATACGAAGACCGTAAAAATGACTCCTTCACGAGGTCAATCCCATCCTTTCTCGATGGAGAGAAACGCTCAATCTCTTCTCTGCTGAAATACCACTTTGACGTTTCGCATTTAGGAGATATTTGCCTCGCATCTGCTTCGAAATGTTGCCGAGAACGCTTTCTCTGATGCTCCTCTCCCATTGTAATCTTCTTCCGTGCAACAGCAATAAGTAACCACAATCCTTTAACAATCAAAACAAGCTATCATATACAGGAAGCGGTTTAGCTGCAGATTTTGCTGACGAATATCTGCAAATAGCAACCACCACTGTTAACGAGAGTTGACAAATCTGTACATCTTCTTTTATGTCAAAAAACAGAATAATACGACATATATTTTGTCCCAGCTTCGGAACATAATACGACAGAAAATTTGAACCCAGCTTCACATCTTGTTTTAAGCATCAACGACAAACGTTTTCAAAAAATTTCCAACTTTATAAAGCGATTTGAAAACGATTCGATTAAGATATCACAAAAACAAAACAGAGGAGGTGATAGGTCAAATTTATAAAGCTAAATCTGGAAACAGATCGAATAATTACAAAACGTCAAGGATGAGAGGGGAAAGCTTTCGCCGATTGATTGAAGAGATGAGATCAAAGGAAAACGAAATCGAGTTTAACAAAGGGAAGATAAACAAAATAGGGAAGCTAGATTTGATAATTCACTAACCAACGTTTGCTTGATGAGAGGAAAAACTCTTTGAAACTTGAAATTTCTCTGCTGCTTTTTTGTTTTTCTCTTTTTCCTAAGCACCGGAAATATCTAATGCGGTGAAGCGATTTAATACCTAAAAAGATACTACAAAATATCGTTTTAAAGAAAATGGGCCAGACTTTTCGATGAAAACTACACTTGACAATGGATATGGGCTTGGACTTATGAGTTATGATTATATAACTTTTCAGATCCGCCCTCTCGACCGCGACCAATGACGATGGAGATTGGAGATGTTGAGAGATCTTGGACTAGGATTTTCACCCACGCACACGCGGGTCTGTATCTTAAATCGGTTTAAAATATATTTTAAAGAATTTTTTTTAAACTGCAAAAATCAACAATTAAAATTTAATAATATTTCAATACCAAAATTCTCTGGAAAACAAAAGTTTTTAGATATATAATATCGTGTTGAGATCAAATCTTGACATACAAAAATATTGTTTAGATCATATCCCGGTAACAAAAATGTTTGTGTATGTCTAATGACCAAAACTTACTTGAAGATATTCAAATCATTATATATATTGTAAAATATAATGTTAATTTATGAACTATTGTGACGTGTTAATCATTTTCTAAACAGAAATATATTTTTAAATATGTATAGTGAAATTCTTAAAATTAGATGTCAACAGTATTTGTATGTAACACGATGTTTATTTAAAATAACTTCAATTCGTTATGTTAGAACTTAAAATGCTATAAACAACATATAATTTATTTTTCAGTACATTTAACTTACACATCGTGTTATTAGTTTATAAACTTTGATCATAATAGTATATATTTAGCTTTTATATAATATAAATTATGTATATTTTTTTTATGGCTTAAAGAAAATCTTAAATCATTGTTTGTTCAATGTTGATTTTTTGTTAGTAATTTTGTCACGTTTTTTATGCGTTATGGTATACATTTCTTTTTAGAAGTAGTTTTATATTAATGTTTACTTGAATATTTCCGCCTTAAATCTTATTAAAAAAAATTTGTTAGTTACATATTTGTTTAGAAATTGCAAAATTCAGTTAGTGTTTATTTAATTGCAAAAATGGTTATTAACTCACCTCATATCATGTTTCTAATCAAATCGAGTAATCATATTTGGCAAGTTTATACTACACCAAAAATGAAATATTTCCTCTTGAATTTGATGGCAAAAGCTTTGTCTTGACCGATCAAACTCTGGCTGCTCATGGAATTGATACACCTCTGCAATCATTGTGATCATCAAAGAAACAGTCTCCATATCTTCTTCATATGTCTTTCTACAGTATGAGTCTTGGATCAAGCCTGCTTCTCAATAAACTTATGGCAAACTCACACATTTTTCAGGAACTCTTTGAAGATGTAGAAAAACTGATTATTCTACTCCTAATAGGTTTATTGCCTATATCTCTTTATCCTTATATATTTTGCCATTTTTGGAAGGTTCATGATTTTCTCTTATTTGAAAATCGTTATTTACATGGAGATGAAATCTTCTTAAAGGATGTGAAGGATGTCAGACATCAACCTCTTCTTTCCCTCTCCGTCTGACCTCCATTATCCTCCCGAATATGAACTCTTATTTTGTTGATGTAGGGTGGAATGCTTTCTCGAAAATTTGTTGTATGGTTGCACTATTAAATCTCCTTTGAATTCTTCTGCTCCATAGTAATCCAAACAAACTATTTACTTTTTCGACCATTTTTTTGAAGCTACGATGAACTAAATATTATATAGTATGCTATTGTTTTCTTGATTTTTTGTTTTAGCTCCCAAAGCTTGATCTCTCTCATCACCTAAAAAAACTGCAAATGAACTCATATGTCTTCTATACGACATTACACATTTTTGTTTCTATCTCCATTTTTTTATTCATAGATTATGTAATGTTGAGATCGACTCTTTTGCAATGTTGGCTTTGTTTGCTTAGAACAATTCTTCAGTTATTATGTAATACTTTATTTGTAAAAACTTAAGATGCGGTTTTATTATCTTATTAACTCTTAAATATTTAGTTATACAAATTTTTATATTAAAAACATATTTATTAAAAAATATTAATTTAATTACTTTGACTTGTGGAGTTTCTAATTTAAACACATTATTAATTAATTTTCTTGAAACATAAAAGAAATTAACTAATTTAACAAATATAGCTAATTTTATATGATGATATAGATTAATACTATTGGTTGTTTAAAATTTGGAAAATTTCTTAATTTTATATGATTATGTGGAATGCTATTGGTTATTAAAATTTGGAAACTTTCTTAATCTTGAAGATGTTTATGTGGACCAATAAAAACGCGTCATAAAATTCTATGTGGACGCTCTGAGAGGCTTATAGCCTCAACTTTTATATAGTATAGATTTGGTAAAGGAGGAGATAGTGATGCGTGTTCCGGCCATGTATCTGAAAGGATTGGGATCTACTTGTAAACCATGGAACGGTATGTTTAACGGTGACTGGAGATTCGCTAGAGAGCACACTCACAAAGCCGCAAAGCAGTTTCTGGTTCTCTGATTGACGAGGGCCTTGGTTTAAATTCGTACTATAGGATAACTATGTTGTTTTGTGGTACTTCACTATGTCGTGTTCTGGTGTTTGAATTCATATTACTCGTAAAACTACGTAAATCTAAGTTAAACATAAGTAAGTTTAGTATTACTATATAAAACATAAATTGCTTCGGTATTACTAAGTAAAACTTTGTTTAGTATTACCAAGTAAAACTAAATGGTAAACCCAGAAAAAATTTAAATCTTCCGGAAGAACCCTAGGAATCTGAAATTAATAGGATTTGATTCAAAAAACTTTAAAACAATAAGAAATTTGAAATAGTTGAGTAGCTTCTCAAATCTAATATACAAAGTTACAAACTGTGAGTGATTTATACAATGAGTGACTTTTGTCACTTATCTTACACTAAGAGGGACTTTCTGATTTTTGTGGACTTTTTTTACCCTACATATTTTTTTAATACCATTGTACCATTAAAAAAGAAGAAAGTATAAATGAGAAAAAAAAAAAAAAAGGGAATGATCTAGTTAAGTGTTATAACCAGATTTAAAAATGTATGGCTATGATTTAACCAATTTGATGTGGATTTTTCGAGTCCGCGGCTGGTATGCCATTTTTCAGAAAAAAACGATCTCGCGTGCCATGGCACAGTCTAATGCCATGTACGGACAAAGGTAGAAGGGGAAATTACCCTTTGACCCTTAATGAAATGCGACGCAGTGAATCGAGCTGGGTGAAATTCGAGCTGGGTGAAAAAAAAGAAAAAAGGTGGGGGGAAAAGAAAAAGAAAAAAGAAAATCAAATTAAATTAAAAAAAATTCGATTTTTTCATTTTTTTCTTACAGCTCGTTTCCGTTTCCTCGTTTCTGGATTCTCTTTTAGCTCTATTCCGCGATTTTCGATTCCGGCGAGAGCGATTCCGGCGAGAGCGACGTGAGTCGACGTCGGACTGGAATTTGAGTTCTTCTTACGCATCGGCTTCTGCCCTGCTCCGCCATTGTCGTATATCCGCCAGTAATTCAAGCTCGAGCTGCTCCTGTGAGTCGAGATCTGGAGCTCCGGTCACAATTCGAAATCTTCTTGCGCCGTTGTTGTAGATCCGCCATTAATTGAGGTAATTGTTTCTTCTTATTTTCTTGGAATTTCAAAATTTATGGGATCTAGGCGAGTTTGAAAATTTCGTTATTGCTTCAATTAGTATGCAAATTGGTACAGTATTGGATAGATTAGTAATAAGTTCACTGATTTGGTGGCTATATACGGGCCTTGAGATGATTGATAGCTTAAAACCGAGCAAATTCCTGTAATGTGAAGAAGAAGTAGGACAACTAGTACACTTGGTACAACTGATAAATATAGGACGACTGGCACATAGTACACTTGGTACAACTGATAGAGTATGATGATAAATTGACATTTTATACTTGCAGGGAGAAAATGAGCTTCATCCCAAACGTATATTTTCAATATGGAGGTTCCTATTCACGAGGCGAGGAGGGGCTGCAATGGGTAACAAGAAATCCTTCACACGCCATATCATTTAAGACATCATCTGTGGCCGAGATAACATACTTGGATTTAGTGGATAAGATATTGAAGAAGATCGCGGTTGTTGGAGCTAACCCGCAGCTGCAACTGAGTTACATTCCATTGGTAAATAAACATGTGATAGAGTCATATATCTTCGATGAATATGACTTATATGCTTATCTGACGTCATTGGATAAAGAGGGATTTAGGTCTGTGTTGCATGTGGAGGTAAAGAAGAGTGAGCATACTTCCAGAACAGAGGCAGTAAGTTCATATGATTTGAATTATGAAGACCCGGTTTGTAATGATGGTGATTTGCCGAATTCTGGTATGCTTACAATTTATAGAGCGCGTGGAGAAGGAGAAGAACAACATAGGGCGCCGATCATTGAAGAGGTGCTCTCTGATGATGTCGAGAAGGTGGTCTCTGATGATGTCGAGAAGGTGGTATCTGATGGTAACGAAAATGGTGAAAATGTAGTGTGTGGTGAATCTAATGGCTTGGATAACCATGCTGAATTTTATGACCTGCCACGCTCTGCAGAAGAAAGACAGTACGTAGAAGAATGGGATGATGGCACGGGTCTTGAAATAGGTCAGGAGTTTTGTTCTAGGGAGGCATTGCAAGATTTGGTCGACCGAGATTCCAATAAGAACTGTTTTGGGTTCCATACTTATAAGTCGGATCCAGGCCGACTTATTCTAGAATGTCGTCAAAAGACTATAGGGTGTAAGTGGTATTTACGAGCTACAAACTGTAAGGGAACAAGTTTATTCACTGTCAGAGTGTACAGGAAGATGCATACATGCTCTCGGGATGCGCAGAGTAGCAGCACTAATAGAAGGAGAGGTACCCCACGATTAGTAGCGTCTGTTCTTCATGAAGACTATCCTGGTCAATTCGACACCCCAGCTCCGAAAAATATTGTTGGTCTCGTTCAACGCAGAGTTGGTTTGAGTGTGTCCTACTCCACGGCCTTGAGAGGAAAACGCTTGGCTGTTAATGATGTGCGAGGCACTCCGGAGGAAGGGTATATGATGTTGTACTCGTATTTGTACATGCTGGAGAAGGTAACTTATGGGACAGTGACAAGTGTTAAGTTGGATAAGGATCATCAGTTCCAGTACTTGTTCATTGCCTTGGGAGCTAGCATAGAAGGGTTTAGGGCGATGAGGAAAGTGATAGTTGTGGACTCAACCTTTCTGAAGACTGTTTATGGTGGAGAGGAGATCGGAGGTAATTGTATACGAGATGTACTCCAAATATTACTTGGTTGAGCTGTGGGCATTGGCATATCACAGGACAATTTTTCCAGTTCCACATGTGTCTACTTGGGATGTTCCTGAGGAGATTCTAAAATTGTTCGCCTTACCTTTTGATTACGACAAAACAAAAGGAAGAAATCAAGAAACAATAATGGTTGAGATTCGTCCTCATCATGCTGCCAAAACAAACAATAATATCAACCAATTATTCAAAGTTGACCTAAGTAAAACAATGGTGACCTATTTAAACTTCACCAATCTCTCTTCAACTACATAAAAGTTCCATCATTTCTCTAAATTTCAAGCATTCTACATTCTCAGCCTCATTCCCAAACTAATTAGCATTCCAAACTAATAGAAATTCCAACCCAACCATTCTAATTAGCATTCCAAACTAATAGAAAACTCTGTACAATACCAACCTCATTCCCGGTTTCTTCTTCATTCCCATCGTGTGACTTCTCCTGTTCTTGAACTTCGTGGTCTTCCGAACGGGGATCCTCCGCCTCATTCTGCAGATTCAATAATTCAATTAAAGTTCACCAATTCTATAATTACTTACTTACTTCAGGAATTCAAACATAACATCAACTAACCATTGTCGAATCTTCTGTGGGTTGTTCCGGTTGAACTTGTGCTTGTTCCGGAGGACCTCGATATGACTCATATTGTCGACCGCTCGCGTTCTTTACCTTCGCCATTATCTAACCACAAACGAAAACGAAAAACCGCCGGCGTTAGAAAGATGGAGAGAAGATGGAACCATACTCTATTCGAAAATCATCCGGGTTTTCGCTTACCGGAAGAGAGAGAGAGAAGAACGAACGCGATTCGATTTTCGATTTTGCCGAGATTTTGGGGTCGAGATTGAGATTCGACGAACTCGCTTCAATTTCTCCAATCCCGTTGAAATCCCGTTGCGATTTCGAAGAGTAAAGATCGAAAAACAGATTTAAATTTTTACTTCTGCTTTTCGATAGTAACTTTCTCAAAATTAGGGTTATGGACGGTTCGGGTCGGGTTCTTTCTATACGGATGGATAAAACCCTGGTTGGGTCGGTAATTACGATGATTTTCGTTGGCAAAATAGGCATTTACTCGTTTTCCTTATTAAAATAAATCGAAAAGAAATTCATTATTAGAAGGATGGCACGACAGCATCGTTTCTCGTAGTTTATGGCATAACATCAATTTTTTCGGATTTTTCTCATCTTTAAGAATAATATCTTCTTTTTCTTTTTCCTCAACTTAACGATTTCTCTCTCCTTTACCAATCATGAATTCCAAAATATTTAAACTAAAAGTCTAACTTCCTTGTTCTCAAGAGAAACAGATTGGACTCAAGAGAAGCTTCTTTCTTTTATCTTCTTCCCCTTTTCACAAATTAACATTAAAACCTTGAGAATCTTATATATAATGAGAGGATATCACTCTTCAGTTGAGTGACACCTATCAAATATACTCATTCCAATAAAAAGACACGTGGCAGCATCTTTAATCATTTAAAAAAATTGTTTCAGAGTCCTTATACAATTACATTTTTGCAAAACAAACCCAAAATTAACTCTTCCTTCACGCAGACTCGAAGCCCTAACGCCGCCTCGCCGCCTCAATCTCCGTCGCCTCGCAGCCGATGCTGCCTCCTCCACTCACCACGACCGTTGTCGTCTCAGCCGTCCTGCACTCGCTCTCCGACCAGTCAAAACGAAGCTGGATTCCGGATCACCGGACCACCACCATCATAGGCGAAACCACCATGCGAACTACTTGATTCGCCCCGACGATGAAGGCTCCGCCACTGAAGAACGTTGCGGCAAGGCAGGCGCTGCTAAATGGAGAGTCCACCCACTGCCACCATCCACATATCTCGGCCCTCGCGAGATCCACTACGGCGTTTACTTCACGCCGTGAAACAAAATTTATCTCCAATCTCCACCATCTCAGACCGTCCCTCCGAAGAGCCACTGGTGAGAAATACGTGTACAAGCTACTAACCTATGGTTTCGTCTAATTTGCGATTTAATTCTCAAATGTTTTGTTAACGCCTTTTCACCTTTTCCGTCTCCGTTCGGTTTAGAAGACATCAATGACTTTAATTAATTTCCTAAATCTTTTCGTCTTCTCTCTACCTTCAGATATTTCACCACTTCATAATCCATTTTGAGTTTTCCTGCTCAAAATATGACTTTCGCTGTTGAGAGGAAGAAGAAGGAGTTTGGGTTTCGGATTTCGGATTTCTGAATTGTGAGATGTGCTCACTGTTAGAATCGTCTTGTCTTCTGGTATGTCTCTATTCGAATTTCTAGGGTTTTCCAACATCAAGTCCTCATTGTATATTATATCTCTAAGTTGCTTCTCACAGATAGATTCCTCACATCTAGATATTTCGTTTGTTCTTCTCTTTTCGAAATGGCATTCTCATACTGTTTTATTGGACACTGAAATCAATATGCATAGGAAAGTTGATATCTCTTTCCTTTCGTTCCTATTTTTTACCCAGGAGCTACGCCTAGAGGTGTCATGACTCATGAGGTTATGAAAGTTAAAGGCTTGACAATGGATATCATGTCAAAAGCCATTTCGAGGTTAGTATTATGAATTATTTTCATCCAAGTTTTCAGTCCTGGTGCTTAATGCAGAGATTTGTCTACAAAATAAAGATGGTGTTTATTTTATAAGCTACATATACATAGTAAAGCTAGATATAGGCCACAACCATTAGAAGTTAGATACAAAGTGGTTTCTATCTTAATATTCTTATATGATGTTTTTTTTTTTTGAGAAAGTATTCTTATATGATGTTTCTCGCGGAAAAGCTAACAAAAGTGCAACACCTTTCATACTTATTCTGCTGGTAGGTATTATGGAGGCTTTTCAGCTTCAAATTGAATTACATAAGCGACTTCACGAGCTACTCGGATTATGTTTATAGAGATATTGGCTTTTATCTTCTGTTTTTCTGTATTAGATTTTGATTTGCTGTGTTTTGATAGTACCAATAAATCAAACTTCGAAATCTCATTTTTAATATATGAGTTTGGCCCACAATGATTTGTCTACCACTTATTGTTGTTTAATTTATGGCCGTGTGAAGATTTTGTTGCAGATACAACACAAACTTCACCAGCTCCCTGATCTTGGAAGCAAAAAAAAAACAAATGCTGCTTGAAACCAATAAAATTATATCAATGAAGGTAATGTGTACACAATAAATAATGCATTTACTAATCATGTTACTGACATGGCTAAAACTCTTTCAGCTTTTGCTTGAGCAGTCATAATTGGTTATAGACACGATGATGATAAAATGGTATGATTCTGATTCAAATTTTAAGTATTTGTCTTTGTTCGGTCCTCTTACAGCCTATAATGAGTCATGCTCTGTTTTTTGTTTCAAAGTTGACTGTCAATGTATATCTAATTCTCTTATGTTCTCATGAATCATGAGTCATGGACTTCTAGGCTCTGCAGCGTTATACATGCATAGAGTTGACATGTATTTAGGTTCCGAATTCCATAACGATAGTTACATGTAGTTAATAGGAAGAAGTAACGGCATAAATAGGAAGCAGCCTGACCAATATTCATGGACCAACAATAAAGGTACTTAAACTGTTAACTTGATAGTGATGTTTAGTGCTAGCTCTTTCTCTTACGTGAACGTCTTCATCCTTTTTTTTGTCAATCCATCTTCATATCTTTAATCCGCAGGTAGCTTAGTAAAATGGAGATACTCTGTGCACACTACGGAAAGAAAGGAATTCTTTAGTAAAATGGTAGCTTTGTAAAGTTGCTTCGTTTGTAATCACACGATTGGTGTGATTTGTTTGTGAAAGGAAACAATATACTCAATCATTAGTATATTAACTTTGCTCGTGGGTAGTGACTTTTGTCCACTAGCATAATTCGTGTACAATTTGACATTTCAAGCCCAAAGTTCTACAAATTAAAATTATTTCACTTTATTTATGAGCCCATATTTAATTAGTTACCTTCATTAATACCGTTTATATACAAGTTCCCTTAAATATTTTGTTATATTTACTTTTGCCCTCGCTGAATATAATTTCTAGATTCACCACTGCATGGTAGGCGAATAATACGATCTTTCAAGTTTTTTTGTTTTGAAATTGTTACATATGTTTCCTTTTTTTTCTCTTTTTGTTTAATTTCTTCTCAGGGTACAATTTTGTTTGGAGTCATGTCAAGGAGAAACTTGGATCCGGGATGCTTGGTGAGCTTATATAAACTTTTTTATTGCTGCATCAGGTTCGATTTTTATGTGCCTCAGAAAAAGATTATATTATCAAAAAGAACTCTTGATTAACAATGGTTTGCTTTTCAGTTTCTAATGTACTTTCTGTAATTTTTATTGTTAACCAGGCTGAACCAAAGACATGAAGTCCTCGCGCATATGACTCACCCGCCAGTTAACGATGGAGGTTGTTTTGACCTTATTAACTTGGTAAATTTGATGAGTATGGATTAATTGTTCTGAGCATATTTTATGAGTAGTAGTATGATGGAGATCCATCGAAGCATACATCAGAGTGGAAGTGCCTAATTTCTTTTTTTCCGAACTTCGATTCTTACTGTATTGAGAATCTTGGAGCTTGTGGTGTCAAAGGTGTGTCCATGATCCAACTCTTACTGTATATATTGAGAATCATGGAGTTTCATAGATTTTGTAGGAAGCTGAAACCAAAGTTATGATTATCCTACCATTTTGTGTAGAAGTATTATTTTTTATAAACAAAGGTTGCTCTTAAAAATAAGGTTATATGATAATGCAACTCTAAGCATTAGCCTCTAACTGGTCATGTTTTCAATTTTTGAGAAATTTAATCAATTTGTGCATGGTCTCGTCTATGCAGAATGATGTGTGGGGGTTGTGGAATTTGTTCCCTCTTTTTAAGAAGCACGATCGTAAGCTCTCTGTTACTCTTTGACATTCCCTGAGTTGAGAGAAAACAATTGATTGGTGTTTTAAGTTAAGTATAATGTCATCAGAATTCAGAAAGTAAGGCCTTGATTGGCAAAGCAATTAGAAGAGCATTAGGTAAGTTGTATGTTAAAAAAAATATATATGATTGGTAGAGTTGTGAATCTTTTTATTATAATTTTTTGTGAAAATATTTAATATGTATATTGATATTTATTTTAATGCATCATATATATATATATTCATTAATAACATAAGATTTTTTTTATTTAAAAAATATTTAGTAATTATTTCATATTTAAATTATATTTATTAAATTTTTATGACATTAAATATTTATTTTATGAATAATACAGTAATGCTAAACATTAATTACGAAATTATAAAATTGTAAATTTAATATAAATATAGTTTTCATATTTTTACCAAAATAAATAAATTACCTATAATTTATTTAAGATTTTTTAAATATTATTGAGTTTAATGTTTTGGAAATGCTCAATTTCAGGGAGGGAATGAGCAGTTTGGGAGCATAAGCAGTTTCTAAATGTTCTACTAAGTGCTCTTTTAAAAAAACTTGATTGGATTAGAAAGAGCTTAATGCTCTTCTAAATGCTCTACCAATCAAGACCTAAATAAAAAGGAGAAAATAACATTCAGATGGACTTTTCTACTTTCTCTTTACACTTAAAGGGACTTTGTGTGAAAATGATGGACGTGTAATAACAAATACCAACAACGAGGTAAACAAATTAACAA